TTGCCGAAAGGAAGTTGGGGTGTTAGAAAACGGTGTCGCGAGGGGGGAAAAGCCAGTCGCGCGGGACAACCCCGGGGGGGGGGGGGGGGGGGGGGGGGGGGTACCAAAGTATACAACGCGCGGTTGCAAGGCATGAGACAAACACAGAAGAGATGGGGTAATGGAGCATGTGGGGGGGGGGGTTTGAGCCATCTTGGGAAGGACTTTCTTGCTACATACGTACGGTCAGCTTCTGCCCTCTCCCTTACCGCCGCACTAACAATCCCTTCATCCCTCAAGGCACTAGAGCGGACCTTTCATCATGTCAACAGCACAAAAAAATCAAATAACATCTGCTGGTAAGAAATAGCCCTAGTTATTACCTGGGCGCCCTGCAGCTCCTTCACGACCCGCTCGTCCTCGCTCAAACACCCCAAAGACGCCGCAACACCGCCACTACCACCACCACCACCGTTACCGCGCTCCCTACCATCCATTCCGCCCGGCGAGGCCGCCCCCAGGGTGTTAACGATGGACGACAGAAGAGACAGCCCTAGACACTGCGTCACGTCAGGTGCTGTAGGCGTAATGCGTGGGAGAGGGGACGGGGGACGGGGGGGGACGGGGGAAGGAGGCGCGAAGCGTTGAAAGGTCCACATACGGGCCGAACGAAAAAACGTGTTGGAACACGAAACAAAACTTGCAGCATTGCCAACTGCCAAAAACAAAACATCTTGGGAGGGAAAAGCACAAAAAATAACACTATTAAGCCCACCACCCACCGTCGCCGCCAGCGACACTTTGAGGCACGTCAAAAGACCAAACAACGTGCTGTGAAGTCAACACAACCCGCAAAACAACTCCCAACAAGAAAACCACCACCAACCAAGACAACAGAGAAACAAACAGCTACATATGTATAACGCAAACTTTCTCTTGTCACTCACCGTAGCGCGAGTCTTCATTTAGCATGTGCGCCAGGGGCTCGATCTGCTCCCTGAGGAGTTCCCTGTTCTGCAGGCGGTGGCCCTCGCGGAGCGCGGCGTGACTCTGAACCATGAGCAGACAGGGACAACGAAAAAGGAGCAACCGAACACGAGACGGCTGAGCATGAACGCTTCGCGCGGGTGTCCAAAATCAAGTCCTCATTTCATCAGGTCAAAGCACTATCCCGACAAAGTCAACAGTGACGCTGAAAAACCGTGATGAACCTCAATAGCACATTTGTTGGTGCCCCCCCCCCTCCGTCTCTTCTCCTCCATCTCCCCTCCCACTTTTCCCTGGCCCTCCTACTCCTAAACCCATCCCGTACTGCCCGCCCCCCCCCCCCCAAAAAAAAAAAAAAAAAACCCCCCCCCCCAAAAAATAGGGAAGAATGAGGGGGGTTAATTTTTTCCCGGAACCCCCTCCCGGGGGGGGGGAAAAAAAAAACCCCCCCCCCCCCCGGAGGTGGGGTTGGGCAAAAATTTAAATGAAACCGGGGGGGTTTTAAAAAAAAAACCCCCCCCCCCCAACCCCCAGATTTTTTTTTTGCTCTCCAAAAAAAATCCCCGGGGCCCCCGCCCCCTTTTTTGGGGGGAAAAAGGCCCCGGGGGCCCCCCTACCCCCAAAAAAAAAAAAAAGGGGGGGTTC